TTTTTTCTTTTTTTTTTTTCTTTCTTTTTTTTTTTCCTTTTTTTTGTCCTTTTTTTTTTTTTTTACCATTACAGGATTAGCTACAAGAAGGGCTGCGGACACTCAGTGCAAAGTTAGAAGCTAATAACAATTAAACATTTGACCAATGAGCAAATAAAAAGCATATACTGAATCAAAAGGAAAAAAAACTTCACACGTTGAGTTAAACCACACGTGGGCACACACACACACACACACACTCACACACACAGGCACACTCACATCTGTCCCAACAAAAACATAGAGTCTGAACTTTTTAAAAAAAAAAAATTCTTAGAGCCTGTTTTTTGTGTACTGATGCTGACCTGGAAGTGTAATAATTCAACTCAGAAAGTGTTCACATTTTTGTTATTGGCCTGCTGGATTCAAGTATTTGCATGTTGATATGGTTTGTTGCCTTTTTTTTTTTTTTAATTTTTTTTTTGTTTCTTTGTTGATTTTTTTTTTTTACTTTTTTTTTTTAATATATTTTTGGGATTAAAAAAAATGACATGAAAAAGTAATGAAACAAGGGCAATGTGCATAGGCAGATCCATGGGAGTAGTGGACACAGAGATACCCCAACCCTGCCCTCCCTCCCCCCCACTCAACCTGTACAGTCCATAGTTCCCACTTGGATTCGTCACTTTTCTGTACCAATGGTAAATATCACACTTCACCCTTTCTGATTATTGGGTCCGCCTCTGTAATGTGCATAATAGTCACAGGCTCATTTAAATAGGCTTTCATTTCCCCTTCCCACCCCCCCCAAGTTGATAAAATAACCCTTTCCAGCCCAAATTCTGAAAAGTGCCCTTCATGATAGACCTATCCTAAGCAGCTTTTATACTTGGTTTTGAAAAAAAAAAAAAAAAATAAAATCACCATACAAACATAAAAAGACAACATAAAACAAAAAAGCCATGAAAAAAAAATAAAACAAAACAATAAAACCTGTCATTAGCATGTGACACTGACCAAAAGGAGCCCATACTGTTTCAGGAACAGTTCACAAGGACTTCTGCAGTTTCAGATTCGATATTGGACAGAGGTACTAAGGAGGGCTGCCAGTCTCATGGGTTAAAGCTGGATTCTTCATCGAGCCCGGGACTGGAAAGGGTTACAATTTTTCTTTTTTTTTTTTAATTTTTTTTTTAAATTTTTTTTTTTCCTTTAGTGCTGATGATTGTTATTTCCATTTTGCTTTCTCTCTCTCGTTTCCTAGATGGACTCCCCGCTGAGAAGATCCCCCGGGAGAAGAGTATTCAGAGGCGTGGGGCTCCCGATGACTCTGCCGTCGTCGGCGCTGGGGGGTCCCCAAAGGCTGCTGGAGTACTGGGGGACCCCCCCCCACAGCAGGTCGCTGCTGCCCTTGCCCCCCAGGCAGGGGGGGTTCCAGTGGCCGGTGTCGGGGCGCACCAGGCCGTGGGAGCTGCCGGAGGAGCCCAGGCGGGTCTGGGTGGATCCAGTGTTGGACTGCCAGCTGGAGGTGGGCGGCAGCGCCTGGCCCTGCGCCAGGAAACGGTTCACTTCTTCCTCACCAGCAAACTCGGCCAGGATGGTAGTGTTTCCCAGGACACACCTGAGGGCACACACAGAAAAGGTGGAACGATGTGAGGTGAGGGGTGCAAAGGGCACTTCTGGGAATACCCGAGGTGGATGTCCTGTGAGGAAAGGCTGGGAGAATTGGGGTTGTTCAGCCTGGAGAAGAGAAGGCTTTGGGGTGACCTAATTGCTGCCTTCCAGTACCTGAAGTAGCTAAAAGAAACATGGAGAGAGACTATTTACAAGGGCCTGGAGTGACAGGAAAAGGGGAATGGCTTTTTCTATCTCACAGATTAGATATTAGGGAAAAATTCTTCCCTGTGAGGGATAAAGCACTGGCACAGTTTGCCCAGAGAAGCTGTGGCTGCCCCATCCCTGGAAGTGACCAAGGCCAGCTTAGATGGGGCTTGGAGCAACCTAATCTAGTGGAAAGTGTCCCTGTCCATGGCAGGGGGTGGAATAAGATGGTCTTTAAGGTCCCTTCCAACCCAGGCAATTCTATGATTCTGTGACACAGGTCCATTTAACTCCAAGCTGAAATTGAGGTGTAGATTTATACCACACCCACTCATTTTGACCAATCCTCACCTTTTGGACAAAGCCTTCTCTGTCCTGTTTTCTATCCACCTTTCTGCATCAACAGGCAAACACCCAAAGCCATATGTGTGGAGATCACCTCCTTCAACTGGGACTCTCTTTAGGTATAAGGATAAAAGCCCACAGCCAACTGCTGTTTCTGCTACCTTAATACTTTCATTATACTCATGCTATAACCTCTCCATAAAGAAAACTGCTTTCCAACACTAAGCACCCAAGTATTCTCCTGAAACATCAGTCTCTGCATCCTTCATCCTCCCTGATTCACTGATTTCATCCCTCAGATTCTCCCCTCCCACTTTTATGCCAATTAATCCCATGGGTTTTAAAACTCCTAAACCCACATTTTGTTGTCATACACTTCTCTCATAACTCCTTTAAAAAAGGTGACCACCATGAACACATTCTTAATTTATCATTGTTATGTCCTTTCTGTTGCTCTCCAAAGGTAAAACCTTGTCCCTCCCTCCAAGCTTCTTTTGGAATCCTTATCACATCTTGCAAACTCTTTGCAGCCTTACAGGTGACAAATCCTAACTGAGAACATTATTAATGGTGAATAAAGTTTTGTAATGACCTCTTATTCAGCAGTACATGAGTATCTATCCCCCAGCTAATTTTTCTCTATCTCATTCAGGTAATTTTAAAAATCAGATTAAAGTAACTAGTGATCTGAGTTCTGACCCCTGGCAAATAAATGCCTAAGAAATTAGTTTCTGAGATAAATGTGGCTTAATAACCAAAGAAAAAGAGAGCAGAAACATACATGTGCAGAGACTTTTGGGCCTTGGCTGCTTCCTCCTTGGAACTGTATCGGACCACAGCATTCCCTTGTGTCAGGTTCAAGTGGAATGTTATGAGAGGGCCGTGTTGCAAACACAGTGTCCGCAGTGTAGAACCATCAATCTGGGGAGAGAAGGGGGCAAGGGTGGTCTGTGTTGCTGTGATGTTACTTAAAATGCTTGTTAAGCAAGTTTTAAAAGCTAAAGAGTGAGTACAAGTGAAAGGAAAAAAAAGAAGAATTTAATTACAGACTTAGCACTCTCTGCACTGAGGGAGACATCCTGTCTTTTCTTAAGACTTCCCTATAGTCCAGTGCACAAAATTTCCCAGTTTAGGTCATATAAATTATATTTATCATTGAAAGTCCATAGAAGTTGAGAAAGAAGTCAAAGGAAAAACACATTGTTCATAAATATAACTTAATTTTCCCCAAGATCAGTTTGGATGTTTGCATTCAAGGCTTTGTGGTTTATATTCTTCCTTCTCAATGACACTGTGTGAAGGACAAGTAGAGGATTTAACAGACTTGTGAGAACCGCCAAAAAAACCCACAGGAAAAGCAGATTTTACATTTCTGTGCCTGCTTTAAAGCACCATTCACCTCCAAACTTACACATACACAAATGGTGCCCACTGAATGACTAATTACAGCCTTAAAAGTTTATACTTGATTTGACAGCACTTTGAAAACCTAATAAATTCCCTGAAGAAGACACCTGTAATAAATGCAGACTAATTATTCTTCCTTCAAATAATTCAAATAACCAAGGCTGCTAAATATTGTTTTTATAATCCCTTAAATGTACCAGCTCTTTTTCCCTAACCAGTTAAGCACAATTCCAGTTACCTGGGGGGTGAGGTTCCGAAGAACCAGCCAGCTGCTTGTTCTCCCTGAGCTGTCAGTACTCCATGCAGAACCTGCAATAAAATTCAAAAAAAAAAAAAAAAAAAACCAACAAAAAAAAACACTGATCATGGTTTGGAGAGCATATTACAAGCAAATTCATCTGGAATCACAACACCCTAGCAAGCCTTTCTGCCACTGAAAACAAATCCTATGGCTATTTCCTCACACCTTGATTTACTGTCTCCTCTGGAATGAAAGGCTGCTGAAGGAAAACCTGCTCTTGTTACATTTAAAAGGTCTGTGGCTTTTTCCACACTCCCAGAGTAACTATCAGGAAACTGGCAGATGCAGGTATGACACTGCAGCAAACTGCATCTCCAGGATACATTAGAATTAATCTGGAAGGCACATTTTAAAAGCAATTCTGATGTCCAAGCTCAGGCTGCTGCCTGCTATTAAAGATTTTATAGCACTGCAGCACTCTGCTATCTTGCCAATGACAGATTAATGTATATGACTTATTCAAAACAGGTATTTCTGCACTGACAATGTCCTGATTGAAGATACAAGGACATAACCAACAAAACCTGCTCTTCCAACCTCAGCCTGGTGTTTTACAGCTTGGAGTTTTGCATTAAGAAACTGTCCAAGCTTGGTATTTATGAGTGGCATTTGAGAAACCACAGTGGATCCTGTGGTCACACATGTGACCACACTCAGGCTGGAGAGAATCTGGGCAGCAGCAATATCTGCCCCCCCCACCCCCAGGTGGGGCTCTGGTGAAGGAAACAGATCCAAAATTAATACCAAAAAAAAAGAGAAAAACATTTAATTCTCAGCTTAGTGAAAGCAGATTAATAAAATAGTCAGCTTTATCAAATAGGTGTAATACTTGCATATATATCTATATTTATACAGATATCTATACAGACAGCCAAATATACATATATATATACATACATACATACATATATATATATATATACACACATACATACATACATACATATATATATATATATACACAGCCATGGCTTCTCATATTTGCATTTAAGCAAAACAACATCTAAAAAAAGAGTCTGTGTGAAAAAAATTAAGGCATTCCCTGCAATGCCATCAGGTCCCAAATGCTTCACATCCATGCCCCAAATATGTATCCCATATTAAATTCCCTGAGCTGATATTGAAGCCTCGCAGGGAGTTTTAGATCATACCACAAAATTAGGAAGGCATTTTTAGAAAATAAGGAAATGGGGAAAAAAATCCCAGTTGGAGAGAAAATAATTTGGCAATTCCTGTATAGAATTACTCATGTGACCAGCTGAAAGACAGCAGCTTCATTCACAACTTGGCCAAAGTGAAATAAATAGACATGAGATTAATCCCCAAAGGAGGCACAACTCTGCTGGCACTGAACCTCCAGATCCTGGAGCCCAATACACAGAATAAAAGCAGGTGTTGTAAAGCAGAGAAGCTGTGGGTACCAGAGGAGTACGAGCTGGTCCAGCCCAGGGGACTGGCTCCCCACGTGGATGATGGCTTGGTGTTGGTTAAGCCTGGAGGGGGCCTCGTCGGAGCCGTAGTGTTTCTGGGTACCTTCCAGAGTTCGTGGGACAGAGAGGCTTGGGTGTGAGAGATCGGGCCAGAGGACCACGTGGACTTGATGTCTGACAGTTTACCTGCAACAGGAAAAAAATACATTTGTGTATTCTTGATTTTAAACCCAGTAGGAAGGGTATCACTGACTACGTTCCTCCAGCTTTTCAGGAGGAAAACAACAACAGCCTTCTGTACCATCCAGTGCTATCAATCCCATATCCTTTGAACCTACCAGTGTCTACATTTTCAAACAATTTCGTATTTAATGAACCTCACAACACCTGCTACATACACAGTTCCCTCTTTAAAATCTCCTACTACTTCTCTTTCTTTTTAAAGATGATACGTGAAAAAAAGGCCAGAAAATGGACTTAGGTATTTGAAATCTAATTGCACCAAAATTATAATGAAACACTTCAAGATTGTTCTCTCTCAAAGGTTTAATAGGACTTAAAACTTTTTTTTTAACTACTCATTTTATCTAACAAAGAAACCAGTATATCCATATGTTCTCCTGACATATTATTAAAATTCTAAAGATCAAAGAGCAATAAAAACTTTATTTCTTAATATTCAAAGTAACTGATACTCTTTTTTTCCAAGTATCTTTGAGGAAAATGAAGTCTGCAGAAGTTCAAATCATATCACAACCTGTCACTCTGTAACTTTTTGCTGTTCAGTTTATTTCCCTAATCAGTTTTTAAACTCTGACTACTATTCCTGCCAAATCAGAGTTCAATAAAATAACACAAAACCAACAATAGCAAATACAGTTTAGCATTTAGAGAGGCAGACAAAATTGATTTAAAATACAAGTACCAAAATAAACCTCTTTATTCACCTTTAGGCTTACACCTCCCTGCCTTTCCTCCTTGTACCAACACATGTTGTGCAATTAGAGCCCAATTTCCTTGTCACAAAACAGTCCTGCTGTCACCAACACTGGCAGCATGTGTTGGACTGGAATGGACTGAAAGGGACACATCCTGCATCTTCTGCCACAGCAAATGATGTTGTGACTGTGCTGCCTTAATGCTTTGATGCTGATTGCAGAGAATAAGAAAATACTTGGTCTGACAAAGTCTAAGATGCAAAAATCTTGTGAGTTTTTACAAGACTAGATTTGAACTGGCAGATTTAAGTTTATACTGGATCAGTGCTTTGCATCGAGGCAGCCAATGAGGGGTTTTTTTATCAGTCCTAAAGCCAAATTTACCTGTTGCCAAGTCACAGCCTCAGTTATATACACACACACTCTCCCCAGATTGCCTCCATTTATCTAAATCATTTAACTCAATGATTTTATATTGAATCATAACAATTCAAGGGAAAGGGCAACCACTCTCCCATCTTCTCGCAAACTGTAGCAACAAAAACAATTTGACAATGATGATGAGGACATGAATGAGTGTAAAATGGTGTGAGGGAAGGGAGCAAGTCTGAGTTGGAGAACTCAGAGTAGCCCAGCCTGTGACGTGGCACACGACACATGCACATCACCACAGACCAGATGTTGCTATGTCACTACTTCTCATGGGGGTAACACAAACATTAGATGACACTGCAAAAATATAAGAAGCAAATAAAGCAGAAATGCATGGCAGATAAAGAAAAGCAAGCCATTCCTTTCTTTTCCTTTCACTGGAGGAAAACGTTCCAAACAACCCCTTTTCCTTTCGCATTCTGCAGTGTGACCTGGAGGCTGCACCTTCCTTCACCCAGAGAAGTGGAGGGTTTTCAGTGGTTAGATGTGAAAATGCTAATCCAATCCATACAACAGCCCCAACACATTTTTATAATGGGACAAACTGGATATTTAGGTAGATAGTTTGCAAGCAGAGTTGCCATGCTTTGCAGAGATACACTCCAGAATTCAGAGCTCATTAAAAAGAACGGGGCAGTTATTTAGTCCACTTACAAGCTCAGTCATACAGGGCAGCATCAGGCTTTGGCTTGGCTATTAAAAGACTTTTAAGAGCCCCAAGAAACCCAGCCCCTCCAGAGACATGCAAAGTTAAGTCCTGGAGGTACTACTAAAGCTTTTCCTGAGCTGAAGATGTTTCACTTTCAAGAGTGAGTTTAGTAACAAAATTTTCACATCAGCTCTTACTGGAAGTGTCTAGCAGGGGTGTTCCTGCTGAGGTCCTAGACAACCTTCCTCCTCAGAGATCTTGATGCCAATACAGAGTGACAGCACATGGCACCAAATGGAATAAACACCTTTTTCCTGAGCACAGTTCCAGGCACACCCTCCAGCACTCCCCGCTGAAGGGCTGCGGGGAGAGCTGCCCGCCGAGCCCAGCACTGAGAGCACGCTTCTGTCTCTGGCAGCAGTGCTGTAACCACTGGGAAAGCACCTCCTAGGGCCTTTTGCTGAGAATGCAGAAGGATGTGGAAGTAGAAAGGCCAGTTCCGTACCTGCAATGCTAGGTGCAGATGCAATGCTGCTGAAAGAGCTACTGTAGCCGGAGGCACTAAGCGGCCAGGCACTCGATGAAGGCAGCGTGGCATTCTGAGATGATGTTGGGGATGACCCTGCAGAACCAGCAGAGAAGCAACTAAGAAAGATGGGCATAATGATGTTTGGTGTGACATAAGCAAATCTGTTATGTGCAAATACAAACCATGCAAAGGCATTTCTCCTTAATCAGCCTGGTCTCTGAAGGCTGGGGATGAAATGTTATCGAAGGTGTGTTACAGTGAAGCAGAAGTCTTTGGTAGGAAAGGGAAGAAAGCTGGCACAGTAGCAGTTGGAGTACTGCCTGTGAGGGAGGCAAATTCTGCGTTTCCTTTAAGATATGTGACTCAAAAAAATTAGTGTTAAACTGTTTAGTCTCAAGGAACAGACTTCATTTATCAAGGTCCTCTGCCAGCTGACTTAGGTAATGGCAACTGTAGATGAGCAGAGATGCATATGATAAACTAACCTCTTACCATGGGTGATCTGTCCTAAATTACTCAAGGTAAGTACTTTCCCTACATCCTAATGCCCACAAACATCTTTAAATTTTTGCAGACTTTCAGTAAAGTAAGGATATATTTTAGCAATCTCTTCTTCAACTGATAACATAAATGAAATAGCCTAAAACTACCTCAGTAAATCATTTACAATCTGAGGAGCTATCTAAGAATACATTTCCTTGCTGGCAGCAAATGAAAGAAACTGAACATAAAATAAAAAAAATCTTCATTACAAAGACCAGAAGAGCTGGAAGTATTCTCTCCAGCCACCAACAAAATCAAATATGTATCCTGGGTGACTTATCATTCCTGTCACACGTAGATGGACTGTGATACTGAAACACCTTTAACTGACTAATAAAAATAGGTGAGTTCTTTAGAAAAGAGCACTGTACTGAGGGAGAAGGGAGGAAGTAAAAGGACAAACTCATCCCTCACAGCTCGATAAAAAACAAAGGCTGTCTGTTCAACTGGAACAGCAACCCACCAAACTTCACCTTCACCACACTCCCTGCACTCCACAGGACACCAATAGAGACATCAAGTTTCAAGCAAAATAACTCTGTATCAGGCCTTCTCTGGAAATAATCTATTCCCTAGGCAGGAGTGATGGAATTATAGCAGATTCAAAAGCCTACAGAGCTGACACTGGTCCTGTTTCCTTGTGGCTACATCTCTCAGCTCACAGTAGCTGACCCTGCAAAGCTTCATTAGCAAACAGGGCAAAGCAAAAACCAACCCAAAAGCTTGGGTTTTGCCTGTTTCCAAGGGCACACCACAGCCTAACCCTCTAAATGGGGATCAGCTCTGTCAACACAATCTGTGTGCTTTAGGCTGCAGTGTTCAAAGACAGGCTCTTCCCATGAGAGCCACAGTCTCATATGGATGGGTACTGACAGCAACAAGCAATTTTACCAAAGAGCAAACCCCTGGGTTATATGAGCACAAAGAAACAGATTCTGAACTATATTTTTATTAAGATTATATGGCCAAATGAAAAAGCTCATGAGGAAAGGAAGCACAGGTGGACCCCAACAGTCCCTGCTCTGCAGAAGGCTGGAGTTCCTTAGGGCCTCTTTACTTCTGCAAAGACCATCTCTGCTGACCCTCTCCAAGAAGCAAATTATTTCTTCTTTCTACCAGCAGATTATACACCAGCAGAGCCAGTGTTCCTTCTCTAAAACAGGAAGGCCTGTATTAGGTATCATCTGACTTACAGGTACAGCTCTGTAGGTTTAGGCTTTTGGCCTGAAGAGAGTATTTCTTGGGTGAACCCTATTTGAGCTGTCACTGAATTACATCTTTGTACTTCTTATAACTTCAAACTCTGCCTGCCCCTCGAAGCACACTTGGGTCATTGAAAGTTAATTCAACATTATTCATGCACACAAATACTCTGTCCTTCAGCATAAATAAAGATTGCTTCCTGGCAAGAGAGCACTCAAATGGCTGGAGGCAATGAAACCCCTGCCTCCTTTCCCTCATGTTTCACATCCCTGGCTGAATTAACAAGCCCAGAGCTGGACACTCATTTCAAGGATAGTTCTGATTTACAATCTGTGCTGATACCACAGATGTAACTATTAGAACAAAATCTAATAGTTAACTATTAGAACACATTTCACATTTTTAATCCTGACAGATCCTTCTGGACAACCCGATTGTGCTATTTCTGTGCCTATTACAGTGCTCTAATAGAGTGCAGATGACTTGGCTATTTCAGCACCCTGATCACAATTAAACCAAGCCACCTTTCCTTTTGATCCACTTCCAGTACATCTAGCTAACAAGTCCCAATGCTTGATTGTTTTATAGAATTCTCTTTTTATTCTGAAGTAAGCACTGCCAAGACAAAAGGAATGGAAATGACACTGGGAAATAGTAGTTTACTACTCAATTCCCCTAATTTTTTCTTTTCTTTTATGGTTTTGGGGATAAAACAGCTCTAATTTATTTTGCTGATTGATCTTCTAACAAAGCTACAATTAATTAGTGTGCCAGAAGCCTGCTGCCTCAGCAACAACTGTGGAACTTTTGTACTGTGTCTTCTTAGCATTTCACAGTGTAAGTAGGAGGGTGGGCAGTGTGGAGAGCAAAATCTTGTTCAAAACAAAGTGTTACAGGTTAGGAAAAACTTCCAGTGACCACAGAAGTTTAAATTACATCTCAAAGCCTTTTCCAACAGAAAAATATTTACGTTCCCATGGAAAACAAGAAACTTCTTAATCCCATATTTAAACCAAGTATTTCTGGATATTCAGTGAAAGTTCTGAGCAGAAGCATTATTAGATTAGGAGTACATGCAAAAATATGCTGTATCTGTAACAAATGAGGTCAACATTTTTTGAGAGAAGAAGAAAGAATGCACAGATGTGAGAGTAACTTGTGTGTTTACCTCCACTCTTGAGGAGATAGCGATTAACATCCTGTATCGTGGTGTTTATGGTAGGCCCAGTTGGAACACTTCCAGGAGTAACATCGGGGTCATTTTCAGGATCAATATTCTGCAGTCCTTTCCATGGCACTCCTGGATGAAACTCTGTTCCAAATACAACAGAAAAGAGAAGGGTGTAAGGTACAATTCTGTGCAGTCCCCGTGCATCAGAAGGATGCAATAAATCAACCCAACAGTACATTTTAAGGACATCAGTTCAACACCAAGGCTTTGTGTTTTCTTACCTGGTGGCCAGTTTATGCTGGAGCCATTGGAAATCTTATCACTATCGGATTTGGCACGTGACCAGCTGTGAGGAACAGCTACGGGTGGGCTGGCAGGAGACTCACTGTTCTGAATCAGATCATACCGGCCATAGGAGTCATCGATGGAGGACTTTCCTGGAGGACCAATACTTAAACCTCCAGGTATAGCACCTGCAAGGAATGAGATGGAAAGGCTTCATTTAGGAGCAGGACTAATTTGGGGTATGGAGTTTCATCAATCCCTATATTTTGTTGTTTTCTTTTTTTTTTTTTTAATTATTTTTGGTATTACAAAGGTAAAAAGAAAAACACAAACACAGTAAGCCAGGCTTAAGAGAGCCTCTGAAGCCTTACTAGGGACTACAGCTGTGAGATGAGCTGCTGGTACAATCTAGACTCAAGTTAAAGAAATTTGCACTGAATTCCTGCCAAAAAGAGACTTGAGTAATTCAAATCATTACACTGATGGTAAATAGGAACTTGCTGTGACAGCATACTGAGGAATAGCAGTGTAGGCAACCCCTTATCTCATCCTTCCCAAGGCATTCATTGCTGATGGGATGGATAACTTGAAATTGTTCTCGCGTTCCTACAAACTATCAAACAACAATTTGGCATAAGCAGTGCAGCTACTTTCACAATAAAAAACTTGTCATAGAAGGGATAATTCATGCTGCTCATCACAAAACCCAGGATACATTAAAGTTGACAGAGCCCCATGTTCCAACAGAATAAACTTAGTACAGGAAATAAAGGAATAACTGACTCAGGATACTGGAGGTGTTAGGGATAAAGATGTTCAAACAGATTAGCAATCACTTCGGGAAAAACAAGAAGTCTGTGCTCCTAATTCCATGGTGGGTGGAATCCAAAGGCAATCCATCATGCCTTTGTACAGTACTGGCTGGGAAAGGTTGATGATATTGGAAAAATTGTGGGAGAAAGCCGATGTAAAGTTTTTTAGGACTGAAGGTATACAGGTCTGGAACAAGGGGAAGGTTGTGGGACTTGTTTTGCCGACACTAAAGGGTTGTTTTATTTGAACTCCATGTTCTCAACAACAAAATTCAACAAATGAAAAAACCATTTCTACATTGCATGTAGGAAGTGAGAGCTGCAGGCACTTCAGTGCACTGCTGAATGTGACTGCAGAAATCATCTGTAAAATCTCACGAGCTCACAAGGCGCTCGGTACCAACCATTTACGAGCACTTACACAAGAAAGTAACATGAGAAAAATTATTACAATTACACCGTGGCTCAAATCCCCAAAAAGCAGACTGACACAGGGATTACAGGGGACATACCGTGCTTGCTGGAGTTCTGGTCAAGAGAAGAAGCAGCACTAGACAGATTATCCATTGAGTTGGGGTGTGTCCACTGAGGAAGGCGAGACTGGGACTGAGAAGTGTCCTTCACTGACAAACCACCAGTAATGTCCATGTTATTTACATTCATGTTCGGGTTCAGTCCAGCTGAGGGGAAACAGGTCATTAGATATCCATCATATAATTAAAAGAGGTGTTTAAAAACCCAGCTACAGGAATTACTGAACACCCATGTGTGTATATGTGTCACTTAGAACCTGCTGTCAAGAACTTTTGATTTTATGAGAACACCAAAACATCTCCCATGAATTCAGAAAATGTTAAAACTTTGCTGAAAAAGGGAGGGAAAAAAAGATGTAGGGATAATATTAAAGCTGTCTGTGTTTCTACTTACAGTCTCCTCACTTGTCTCAGGAAAGGCATTCCAGAAGAATGCACTGGAATGTTATGTTTAAACCAGTGAAGACTTTGCAGCATTCCATGGCTACGCCAAAATATTCCCAATGTCTCCCCAGCACACCCTCATGATGTCTGCCACTTCATTTTGCTAACAACATCTTAAAAATCCCAAACAAAGCAACCAATTAAAGGCCAAACAGCAGCTGTTCATCAGAGCAGGTATTTTACTAGTTGGGCTTGTATTTTGTATACACAGAACAGACTCACTCAGACTGTTATTTAGGGAATAATTTTGATATGCTCCTGTGACACGAATCTGGGTCTTTTTTGATATATAATCCTGAATGTTAGCAGATCACAGGAAGCTGAGAAATCATAAGAACCTCTTAGACTTAGGCCTTTAATTCACAAATTCTTTTGCCTTCTGATGCTCCCTGCCATAACAGCTCACCACAGCAGTCAGAATTACCTTCTTAACTGCTGCATGGCAGATAAAGCTTGGCAATTCTATTGTACCCAGCATAAAGAGAGTCACAAAGAGATTAAATTAATTCCTTTATGTCATAAAGGAAGTCTGTAGCATACATCAAACAATCACACAGGTCTGAAAGGTTGCTCTGTTCTGCCTGTCTCCAGGCCCAATCGATTATTTTGACATCAATCATATTTGACAGATCTGTGTCTAATCTAATGGCTGCTGAAGAAGATTTTAGGAACTTCCCAGATAATTCATTCTAATACTCTGCTTAAATCAACCAAGTGATCCTTAATGTTTAGCTAGTTCTCCTTTTAGGCAACAAAAGTTTATTACCTCTTCCATTAGCCACATGTAAGAAAACTTATTCACAGCTCTTTTACATTTTTGAAGATTCTTGCATGTCTCTTAAATCCTCTTTAGACTATAGTGAGCAGAGGATTTCATTTTTTCCTTAGCAGTTGTGTTTTTGAAACATCTAATCACCTCCCCTACGCTCTGATCCATTTATTTCTTGGAATACACTGAGCAAAACTGATGCCTTACCAGCGCTGATTACAGCGGAAAGATGACTTTCCACGACTTTCCCAGATGATATTCCTGTTTATCAATATGACATGTGTGCATTTTACAACACGATGCTGTTAATTTACACTTAGTTCATAAACAGTAACATAAGTGAATAGTTAATCAGGCAAATTCTGTCTTCTGGTTATTTGTAGGCAGAACACAGGTGAGCAAATACAGCTACCACAAACCTCAAACACAGCCAGAACACAGGCATGTATTGCCATGGTTTTGTTTGGGTATTTCAGTGTTATTTAATAAACATATATATTTATGTGTTTATGTTTGTTACACTGTGGAGCAAAATATTTAGATTGCTGAGTTCAGGAAACAGACTCCCTCTGTGTTTTCCACGTGGACCTGCTGCAGGGAGGACACTCACCAAGAGGGTAAGGAGCAAAGGTGTTCGGTGAAGACTGTTGCTCTTTGGTCTGCAGGTCAGGTAGGCCGGGAGCCTGGGGATGGGGTGAAAAGCTATCCATGGCTGATTTGCCTGCAGAGGGGTGCAAAGATAGATGTGGAGGGGGAGGCTGCTGCTTCATAAGCAGGGCCTGGGCCAGCTGGCGCTGGTGCTGCTGGATCTGCTGCTGCATGTTATTGATTGTACGTGCAACCTGCAGGAGAGAGAATCAATAAATGCTCAGTGGAACAAAAAGACACCAGATTTCTTTCTCTGTGGTGAAATAACACAATGGATCTCTTTACAAATAAGAATTGACTGTATTAAGGGGTGAAGAGCTTTCCTCCAATAACGCTGTGAAACAGCTTTAACGCTCAGCACCCTTTGCTGTCACGCACTGCACTCCTGTTTTAAGGATGCTTTAGCTGCTTTGGTATAATGTCATTTGGTCTTTTTAAGCTATTGAAACCAAAGTAATGCAGAGATTGGGCTGGCAGGCAAACATACTTGCTGCTCCTGTTGTCTCATGGGTCCGGAAACATTACGCTGAGCCTGTAACATCTGCTGCTGGATTTGTAAACGTTGGTACGCCTGCAGAGACAAGGGAGAGGTCAGAGCCCCAACACACACAGCAGGCTGAACATGCTGGCTAGAGCTGCTCTGGTACATCATGAAATAGAAAAGACAAACACTGGAGTTCTCTGAAAACAGTCAATGAAGCAAAAGTAACAACCTTGTCACAAATGTATTTTATAATATACTTATTTTAGTCCAGTGTTCATTTTTGTGGTTTGTTTTGTTTGGTTTTTTTTTTTTCCAGTTCTGACAACACTGTAGTTAAATCGCTTTTGCTGCTTTATTCCTGAAAAAAATCCACGATTTTAAAGTGGTTAGCTTGGCAGCAAACTGAGATGCAAGGTGTTTCTCTGAAACACATGAATTCAAAATCCAAAGGAAATTCCGTACAGATATTTTTCAAGTAGCTGGGTACTGTTAAATTATTATGACAATAATGCTGTGCTCCTCAAAACGTAAGGAGAAATGAATAATAGTATCAAACACCGTTACTAACAGAACAGTTTCTCTAGCACATTGAGAGCAGCAACTAAGCTAGTTTGTCATCCTCAATTCTGTGTTTAACCCTGGCAAATACTGACTTTGCAGTATCTCTTTTTAAAATAATCTTAAAATCCAATTCAACATTTTCATATGCACACACACATATATATATATACACAAAATTTGTACACAACAGCAAAAGAACATGTTTGCAAAAAATAAGTAGTTCTTATCATATGGTATTTTTAATATACCATTAATTCCATTAATTCAAGGAAATTTGCCCTACACTTTATGTTTTAATGAGGCAAATGAAGGAAGTTCTGCAGGTAACTCAGGTGACCAGCACTGCCAAGATTTCTCTGGTTCTGTTGTGACACACCTCTCAGCTGGTCAGTCAGTGGTCTATATTGACATATAACACACACATCAGTGCTGTTTTAGAATACACTGTTACTCACAGCAGTAGGAAGACAACCAACTTTTAGTTCCACTGATCAGCTGTAAAGGATAATTATTCCACAAATGACTATTTATAAAGCCTGAGGCAAAAAATATGATTCTGTTTCTTTAAAAAGAAACTCTACCAAAGAAATCAGGATCTGATTGTTTTGAAGATCTGTCACGTCATTCAAAAATTTAGATAGCAGTTCCCCATTTTATCTTCATGCCTTCAATTCTGATTTAGAGCTTATCTGCCATGTTTTTTAACTTACCAGCTGCAGCTGATAGAGCTGGTTCAACATCGTCATATGCTGAGGATTATTAATTGGCGAGGTTAACTGTGCAGGGCTGAGACCAATGTTTTTTGCTGCAAACTGCAAAAGCTGTGCTTGAACCTAAGGAAGAGCAGTGTATTAAACATTGTATGTTCGCTTTTACCAGTGACAACTGTGTGAGCCATTCAAAAGAGCCACAAAACTTCAGCTGGAATATATTACTGTTACCTGAAATGGTACTGTGAACTATCCAAAAATTAGCAAGGTTATCTTAATAACCATACTCAAAAGTTCATTTACAGAAAAAGAGATGAGAACAAACTGCTTAGAAACACCCACTGTTTGCAAAAAGGGACTCAATGATGTGCCCTCACAAGTAATGTACATAATGTGAGACCATCTCAGCCATGCAACATGTAAATAGATAACAGGGACACAGCCAGGCAGCAGTGGCTGCAAACCTCAGGAGAGGAGAGCATGGAAGAGTTCTAGGCAAAGGGAAAACTTATGAGTGGAAATCTAACCTGAGGGGATAGAAACTGAGGCACTTGAGCACGAAGACTAGGCTGGGATGAATTAAGAGGTTGCACTGGCGGTTGCTGCGGCTGTTGCATGGTCCTGGCTTGTGCTGCTCCGCTATTGCCAAACATACCCAGATTGCCACTCGGTATCTGCAGCAGGACAAGAATGGCACTGGCATGTAAAGACATCACTCAACACATAACCTGGATGTTACTTGTCTGTGCAGTCTCTATTCTCAGTGGTTATGACAGGCACGAATAAAGAAAGCAGCACATACAGACTGTGCTGACAACCGGGTTTAGAATCGGGCATGGCAAGGACTGCCACGTACCCAACATCCCAAACCCCCAAAACTTTGTACAGATGCCTGAACAAAAGGCAGCTGAAGTTGAACATGGCTTTTATAAAGATGCATAGCCCTGGAGGGTCAAGAGATGAACAATGCAAAGTACCTGCCCAAAATGTTTGTATTTGTGTAGCGAGGGAGAACGGAGGCATTAAACTCACAGCAACCCCAACCTCAAGTTAGGTAAGCAGTTTTTGTACTTGATCATTTTACAAAGCTCCTGAAAATGGACATGCTGTTAGTGCAGGCTCTCTTTCAGAAAGATGTGCTTAATGGGCTGGAAGTACTGGACAAGCATTGCTTTTAAAAAACTAACTTTAAAAGAATATACATAAGAAGAGCCACCCTAGAATGACAGACGGCGTTTTTCTGTGTTGTTTTTATTTTTGCTAGAACTTCAATTTGATGGCAAAAATAACCTTTTCATAATCAACAGCCTTTACAGCCTCTCAGTCTTATGGTGTTTAGCAGTCTTCCACCCCATCTCCTTTCCTTTTCTTTCCCTTTCCACATGTTCTACCCAGGGGCCAAAACACCCCCCTTGCCCCAATGCTCCATCTGACCCAGGTGCTGGAAGTCCAGCTTCTTTCTTGCCACCTGCAAAACTATGAGCTGCCCTGACACTTATAAAGCAGGAATAAAAAAGCCCCCCTCACTTCTCCCCATCTCATCACTGAACAATTAAGCCTGCCAGGAAAAATGAACTGGAGCAATGTCTCTGCCTCTGAGTGTGACAATTTGCAATGCCTCAAAAAAAGGGATTTCCATCAATCAAAGCAGAGCCACACCAGGGTTCAGGGATATAAATTCACAACACTACAGATTCTTCTTAATGCAAGTGTGTCTTTAACAGGCTAATTACAACTAAGCAGTTGTTTTATGTCCTATAAGGCGAAATGTTTACACAGCAGGTAGTTCCTCCACTGATATTTCACGTGAACAAAGATGTTGCACTTTCAGTTTAAACCCGTTTTCCCTGGGGAAGTGACGGACGGGCTCTAGCAGCTAATCCAAGAGAGCTGAAATTCACCTTGGATCTCCCCTGACAGCCTTACCTGTCTAGAAGAATTCAAGTTTTGCATGCCCAGCCCTGAGGCAATCCCGCCCAGGGTCTGATTAGGGAGTGCACTGTTTGAAAGGGGGAGCTTCAGGCTTGGTGAAGGCAAAAATGGTGAAGTAGTGGGCTCTTCCACTAGGCCGCCATCCTGATTGGAGAAAGAAAGGGTGAGCTGTGTGCGGTGCCAGGAGCCGACAGCGCACAAAACAGTGTCCCATGGAGACAGAAAAGGGCATGGATGAATAAAAATATATATATAAAAAAAAAGGTATGAATAACAGGGAATGAGAAGCATGGAGTGAAGGGAGAAGAAAGAGAGAAACAGCATTAAGGTACTGTTTTTCTTAACTCGGTTGCTCTTAATCCCCAAATGCACAATCACCCTCACCCACCTCTCCAGAGGAAAGGAGGGATTCTAGCAGCCAACTGCAGAGCTATCATGTGGCCATTGCCTTCTCCCCACTTGGATTATCTCCTCTTTTCTCCACCAGATTGAAAGGTGCAAAGGGAAGAGAGCCAGCACATTTCAGGGAAGTCCTCTGTCTGTTTGGAAAACTCTCAGCAGCGGAGTGCAGACATCAGACATACCGCTTTAGCCAACCCAAAACTTGGGAGAGGCCAGATCAGCTTATTTAACATCAGTCTGGATTTGGTTCCACATCATAGCTCTGCTCTTAAAAAAAGCATTTTTGCACTAATCCCCTTTCCTAACTGAGACACATGAGCCTCTTTTAATATTCACTGAGTATAGCGCTGAGTTATTAATACCCACTATGAAACATTACACTGCACCCAATGAACACAAACCACTTAAACCCAATAATGACAATATCGTCTGTGCAGCCTTCCTGAACATCCCCAGGAGGAGGCAGATTTTAGCAAGGCAGGAGGAGCCCCCTCTGATAACTGGGCTGCAAGGAACCACGGCTGAGCGTGGCTATGATGCACAGGAGGCAGCCCCCACAGGGGGCAAACAGCAAGGCAGAAAATAAAATAAATTACAGAATCCCCAATCAAACAGGTAGATATCTCACTCCTATTACAGTGGGGCACCGAGTTCTATCTCAAACTGTGCTTTGATGTCTGGGGAGCCTGCGGCAAGCATGATCAAATAACACTGTGTACAAAGTAGGGCTCCGAAAAAACAGGCAGAGTGAAAAGTCTCTAATTTGCAATGAGCTGGACTGGGGTTTTTCACGCGATGTGTTCATTGCAAGGAAAGGCTTTCTGAACAGGTGAGGAGCCTGGTTATTTCAACCTGTAAATTCAATGCCCCCGAGGATTGTGAGGTATTGATAAACCTCTTTTGTTCAAAAAGCAGCCCCGTCTGCGAACCAGATACCCAAATAAATGACCTAATGCAGCAAGCATGCTCAGTGAATTTTATGTTCTAAGTTAATGCTGAAAAATGCATTTTCAACAGCTCTCCTTTGATGCAAAGGAAAAGTTTCTTTACTATGAGGCAAAGTGACACTTGACATGTTATCTGACTATCCTGAGGGGGACACTGACATTTTCTAATGATATCCCCAAGGCCTTTCAGCTTGAGATATTTTACATTCTACTGGACATCAGTCACACTCCACAAACAACTGCAGCTTGCATGACAGTAACAGGTTCAAGGATTTCTCTTCAGATCACAGACATATGTTTACAATTCTACCCTTCCCCCTTTAAAGTGAAAATAATTTCAAGCTTGGTGTGTGCTCTCTCCTTCAGATGCCATTGTTTCCTATGTGAACAGAGCTACTGACCATGAAAGAGAAATGCAATCCCTCCCTGCCCCCCAAATTTATTCAAGTCTCGTCTCACTGACGTTATTTTTTCTCAATTTTGAAACAGGCAGTGCCAGGGATGGTGGAGGAGAAGCCACACTGGAGACTCAGGCATTTAATTTCTACACCAGGCAGACTCCTTCACAAGGGTGTTCCTTTGGCAGCAAATGGCTTTTGTTCAAGTTTATGACACTCTGTTCACATTCATTTGGTTCTCTTTTATTTAAACTGCTGCACAAATCTGTGCTCTGTAACTGAACTGAAATCAATTCATTTAACATAAAATATTTTAGTTGGTCAACTTAAAATCACTCCCAACCCAGACCAGGGGACACCTTTACTGCTCACAGTGGTTTGTAATCCATTATTTTTCAGGCTCCTTTACATAATATTTGTTTCCTGAAGAGCAATCTTTTCTACCTAACTTTTCTTCTTCAGCGATTTACTTACAAGTTTATGTTACATTTCTCCCTCAGGCTAATCAATTAAGCAAATCCTCCACATTGGAATCATCACATTATGCTCAATCCAGCACTGCTTTTAACTTTTTTGGAGGGACCTGGCACACCTGTAAAATCCTACTGCTGGGTTTGCTACTACAGCAATCCAACACAAAACACCACACTGGTGCTTTTTAGGACTTTGGAAAGCCTCTCACAATACTCTCAAGTACCAAATGTGACAGAATGCAAGTGGTGTTACTCTAAGGTTTTTTCAGCCCTTTGAGATACAGATTATTTAGCAGAGGATTCCTGGACACTTTGGCAGTCACCTCCCAACAACTGCCACTTCATGAATCAAAATGCCCCAAACAGAGAGCAAGGCTCATGAATTTTGTCAGAGGTCTTTATGCAAAGTCAGTAACAGAAAAAGGTGGTAGAAAATACACACTGACTTCTTAAAAAAAAAAAAAAAAAGTTTAAAAAAACCCCTTTTCTAAAAGAGGAAAGTAAAGTAATAAAATCTCATCTCAAAATAAGTTCTCTTCAAATCAGACAGGAGTTAGGTAGAGCCAAAAGAAACTTGGAGGAAATGCAATACTCAAAGAAATACTCATTATACAGGGGAAGATGAAAGTGGTTTCGAAGTCTGCAAGTTCAAAAAAGGAACAGTCATCAAATCATAGGAAGCAGAGATGAAGGAAAGAAGAATTTTAAGTCAAGCTTAAAATTCTGGCAATTATTATCTAATTGCCAGGCCTTAAAAAGCGTTTCTGCATAAAAACAAAATATCCTGTTTATTGCCCCAATGACAAAAACCAGTCACAGTCACCAGAGATTACTGGGATCAGAATGTGAAGGATGAGGTTGGAAAAAACCAACAAATATGATGTTTCAATTAGAAACAAGAAAAATAGCTAGTCATAAGACTTTTGCAGTTAAGAGGCATCAAGACTTGTAAGACCTGGGTCTCTCAGTAGTAGAAAGAAAGAGCTCATCAATGAATAAGACAGTAGAGAAAAGGAGACTTCATTTGTAAGGTGAGAATTTCAGAGTCTCCTGTGTGCTCAAGAATTTGGGAGAAAGTTTGGAAGCAGCATCAGGGCAAAGTATAAGATAATGTGGTTGAGATCATGCATCAGGGCTGCATCTTTATTTCTTCCAAGCCACTGGATTTTCTCCCTTCTCATGTTATGCTCCTACAGGTCAAGATAACACCCTGAGAAATAAAGCACCAAGTGCCAAAGATTGACTCAGTGTGACACAGAATAAAGAGCACCTGCAGCAAGCACTGAGGAACAAGAGAAAGCAAACATTCAAAGGTGATGGTGAGTTGTACAGATCACTACTGATTCAGAGAGAAGAGGGAGTTCAGAGGGTCCAGAAGCAAATGTCAGGGTTGGAAATTCTCCCTCCTCAAATGCATAAGGTTAAAAAAAAGTTAAGTGCTGGCTTTACCTGTCAGAGAAAATGCAGGAGAAAAATGATGGAGTCTCAATGCAGGTGAGCTGAGAGAATCAGTGAGAGAGTGGTAGCAGTGAGCACACAAACCCAACCTAAAACTTCATGAAGAGGAACCTTGCAGAACTCACTGAAGATATGGCAGAGCCAATAAAAGGATAATGACTTGCTAAGGCAGTAAGTAAAACAGGGAATGTTGGCTGGAATGCTCTGTCCAGCTGTGCTGAGAGCTTGTTCCTCACAAGGATGACCTGAGCAGGAAAGGAGACAGCTCCAGACTCATGCTCTGGAATACTACCACAAAGGGCAGAAAGCCTTTGGGGAAGAGGAGTTGCTCTATTAGCATGAGCTGCAAAACTAGAAAGAATTTCTTTGGAGAAAAAAATCTGTTCTTCAAGTAGGAACTATATTTATTTAATTCACTTAACAAGTTGCTCAACACTGTGATAGCTAACAAATACAGTGTGGGATTATTTCCTTTTGTTATAGCAAAGTCACTGTGACAGATTATGCCTAGACTGATAGATTTTACTTGCTGTATGAATATTAATGATTTTAGTACTCCCTTCTCAATAGTTGTGTTTAACATATGTTTCCATAATTATGCATCATGCCGCACATAATGCACCTCTCTCTCTGGCAATAATTTTACTGCTGAAGATATTGTTATCCAAGAAAAGGGAAGGTTAACTGGCATGCATGCATGCATCTCGTGGCCTTCAATTAACATATTCATTAAAGTTTGCCATAGCTAAGAATGAACTTTATATGACTAGGTATCATTTCTGCCTCACATCCTGTACACAGCTTATGCAAAATGAATTGGTTTCAGCACAGTTTGTGAAAAGCACCAATTTATGTGTTCAGAATCTACCACCACCCATCTGTATGAACCTTTAGATAACCTGTGACACACAGACCTGGCATGTGAGATTGTTCTTTCCTTATCAATAATTTTCAGGGGAGTTCTGGGGTGATTTAGTGGGACTTTGCATCAGATTGTAAACCTCAGTTTGTACTGAACATCTGGCAGCACTTTTCTCCATATTCTTTTCTTTAAGTCACTTTGAATTTTGGACACCACAAACTTGTGGAGCCTTCTCTTCAGTCATTAAATGGTGCTGTGAAATTTGTCATATGTGACCAGAGAAAGGGAAGCTCATTGGAGAAGCTATTTTTGACTGTGCGTGTCTGCTCTGAGACTTAACAAAAATACCTCAGCTTCTCTTTCCTATTTAGGTACTGAACTTTCACTGAAATCTATAAGAAGCTCAAAACTGAAAGAGGAATTAGGAGCCTAATTCGTGAAGATTTTGGCCTTAGTCCTGCCTGATTGTTAATGTGGGCAAGGGTAAGGGTCACTGACTGTCTGGACCCTCACAGAGTGAAAGGATTTCTGTGCTTCATTTCTTTGGTGTTTTCCACTTCTAGTTTCACTGTATTACTGATTCCTTGATAAGTTTTCAAGTGTAAAACCGGTGATGACCATTATTTATTTCTATGTGGGAATCAAACCACTGGTCCTTCACGCAAGGACCGAATTCCCCGTGAGATTAAAAAAAGCCCAGAAAAGGAATAAAGCCATATCCATCACACTTCTCTCTATGCCTTCTAAACAGATAGTGGACATCATCGGTATTTCTACACAGTGCACACCTGGACTTGTGTCTCACATTCCTATTTGTGAGCTCACCTTGTCAAGGAAGGTGGGGCGGTCCATGGAAGACTCTTTGGAGATTGGTGGTGGGCGGCAGCCAAGGGGTTTGGTGACCATTCCATTATAGTCGGTCACTCCCATTCCACGCTTGTCCATTTCCACCTTCTTTTCCAGCAGAGCACCTGCACAGAAATTATATTGGAAAAGGTGACACAGAGACAGTATAAAGTTGCCAACGGTAGTTCTGAGAAATACATCTTGCTTGCAAAGGCAAAAGCAAGAAAATAAATATTGCCCAATTGATCTGGATGTAATGAAACTCTCGGAATCATGAAGGGTTCCTCTGCTGCTTTAAAGACAAAAAAAATTACTTACACAGATACTTACTCATGGCCTGATCGAGATTCATACTGTTGCTCTTCAAGGCCTCTTCCGCTGGCTCTCTCTGTCAAAAAATATGAATTATGTTAAGAAAAAAGGTAATCGCACTCATAGGATTTCTAAGCAACCTGAGAAAACAGATAAATCTCTTAAACACTGGATCTAATATTTACTCTGCAGCCTAAATAATGTCTGTGTGTATTTTTTTTTCTCCTTTGGGCGATTCCCACAACTCAGTTGTTTCAGTTTGCCAAGTACCAGCTCTACGAGGTCAAACCACACTGCTCTGTTTAAATGTCTTCCCATTTCCTACGGACAGCTTAAATATCACAATGATTTTTCTCTAAAAAAAAAAAAATAATCCAGCTATACTCTCATTTTACCTGTTTAATAAGAAAAAGGGAACAGGAGTGGAATTATTACTGCAGTTCAAAGCAATACCTGCTGTCATAAAACTCTGAACATCAAAATATTATAAATGCCATCACACAAAGTGTATCCTCCAGTTGATTTCAGAGCACTTCACTAGTTTACAGCAGATTTCTGAAGTCAAAGTGCAGGTAACAGAGCTGCTTCCTGACCTGAGGAAGAGACTGAAGGTCTTTTTGTACCTACAGTCTGAAACAAATCAAGCCAGAACTACAAGCTACCAAGGCTAAGTCAGAGGTGTCTGTCTGAGCACTACTCACAGGGAAGCCCATGTCTGTGAGCTGTTTTATCAGACGGTTCATGATCCAGGCCTCATCCTGCTTGCTAGATGTCTTCATGCCCTTAGTAAATAAATGGGAGACTGCATTAATGGGCTGGTTTCCACCTTCATACTAGTGAGATGTACATAAAAGAAATGGTAAGTGTTTTTTATTAATAACACATGCTACTGAAAGATGTATTAGTACATTAATTCAGAAAGTATTGAAGAACCCTCCGAGCAACGCGACTACGATTCTCTTCCCCCAAAAGTGTAACAAATTTTATCTCAGCTGAATAAAGTTCAGTGTGCTATTTAATATTTGATTTGTCGACCACTGAATTAAAACCACCTTTGAATTTACATATTTCATTTTAATCCTTGGCAGAAAAACGTAATGAAATAAAGCCGAAATAGTACAACACTTCCTGAAAAACATTCCCAAAAACAAGTTTGCGACCTTGAAGTTAAGAATGTTACTCAGTGTATTTTCTTAAAAACAAACAAGAGCGTCTAGATAAACACCTTTAAAAGATCTCTGTGCAGCTTTTCTATCACAAAATCCTTAAGAAGTCTCTTCCTTTCAGTTCTCCAGAAAGTACCAAGGGACAAGCGCGGATTTGTTTTGGGCTGCGGACAGTACAAGAAACAACCATACTTGATCAAATCACCGGCCTAACTGTTGGCTAATGGAACAACAAACAAAGTGGCTAAATGCATTCCCAATTCCTTTAAGTTACAGCCTGGCCTTGTCCTGAAATAAAGATTGTGCAATGGGAAACTTCCTCACACAATTTTCTACGTTCTCGGTTGAGTGCAGCATTAATACACGTTCGCTTTGTTCTCACACACACACACACCCCGTACAGTTATCTGCTGGTTCCTCACAAACAGAAAACAGCTGGTTTTGTTAAACAAATCCATCACAAACTACTGCTTTCCCACCACCATGGGAAGTGACTGAAAGCCCCCTTAACACCTTTTTTCTTTCTGTTAATACATTTTCATTTTAGAATACATGGAAGCTTAGAAAACTTAAAAAAAACAAAGGCAACAGCAACAAAACTCCCAAAGCATCTGACATGCTTAAATTCAAAGATCTCCCATTTTCCCCTGGAAACAAGGTAGGCTGTACTTGAACCACTGTAGTGGCAAGCTGTGCTTGGGTTCAGGTGTCAGAGATCTAATTTCAGGTGTAATGCAACAGCAAACTTGTGACAACTTATTCTACAAATGTTAATACTAAATCCACTCTTCCTAGAGAGTGTCTTTATTTTTGTTTTACCTTTTGAAGTCCTTTCTTCGGGGCATTCCCCCAGGAATTACAGGAGGAGCTGCTCTCTTGTGAAGCAGTATTATTCCACATATCTCCTTCTTCATCTTCCCACTGACTAGTACTGAGATTCACTTCATCCCCACCACTGCCCCAGCCTTCTTGCATAGATTTTGAAGCTGGAGGGAAAGAGGGAGAAGAAAAAATCTTAATTTTGCAGAAATATCCTTTTGTGCCATATTCATTGTGCTAACAGGAGTATTTCCAAGAGACACAGAGGTTTATCAAATAGTTTAACTGGCATTAAATGATAAGGATGCCCTCTCTGAAGCTAGCAAAAAAGAAAAGTTCTCTAAATACTTAGAGAAGAAAAAAATCCAGCAACCACAAGTCCTGCTTTCCCCAGAACAAGCAAGATCTGTGGTCATGGCCACTCCAGTCTCCTAGGAACAGGGAACCAAACTATGACCACACACTTGTTAAGTGCTATTTTGCTTTCAACGAATCTCACCATTTTAGCTGCCACATTCTTCCGACGAACAAACCCAAATTTCGAGGTCATTAACGGTCAGAAACTCATTCCCATCTCGGAAGAATGGAGTCTGAAAGGAGCTGCAGGGAACCTCATCACCTATTCAGCGATGAGGTTGTGTCCCTGCAGTCCATTTTATTCTGTTTACTCTGTTTAAAGCTGGGATTACTCATCTTAAGACCTCTCGCTTCTCCTTTTATGTTTTCTGAGCCTTCTATCTCTCCCTCAATATGGTATTTTGCAGGAGTGAACTTCAGGCAACTCCCACAGCCAAAACAGAAGCCAAAAGCAATCACTGTAGCCTTCAGGGCATTCAGAGATAAAGGATTTTTATCAAATAACATGAGTTAGGAATCACGAAGCAGGAAGTAGTTCGGGATGTTCCTGAACCTGTGAACAATTGTAACAGCTGAAGAAAATACCCACTCCCTCAAGTATGACCCAACAGTGAGGTTATGACCCAACAGTGAGGTTATGACTAGCTGTTCTCAGGTGTTGCTTCTCCTACCAGAATCAGTCCTACTTTGGCTGAACTCTGCTGCTTCTCATCCCAATTACATTTCTTTAGGTATTGAGTCATGTTCTTCTGCATCTCTACAGTTCCTGCCTCTCTACCATACTGCTTTCCAAGTACACAAAATTACTCTCCTTTAAATTTACTGGACTGATGCACTATATTCATATTTTTGGATTAATTTGGTACCCAAAGTATCAACAGTTAGAGGCAGCTAATGCAGCTTTGAGAAGGAAATTAAGACAGCCTCTGATTTCAGTGCACAGAAAACCAGAAGCTCTGTTTAAAACCTGCTGGCAGAAACAAACCCGCTTCCCCCGTCCTCTCCCCCAACCTCTAAGGGTGTGACAGCCACGTGTGTACCTGGTTTGCACAGTGCTGGGGCAGCAGCTGGAGTGTTTGTTCTTCCATATGTCCCTGCTGGCTCGGCAGGATTCTCTCCCCACCCGGTCCCACTGCTGGGGGGTTTCCCCCACGCCGAAGTGCCATTATCAACTGCAGCAGAAGGGGACGAGGGCTCTCCCCAAGAAGCTTCGGTCTTTGTGTGGACAGCAGGCATCTCTCCCCAGCCTGCTGGAGCAAGGGAAGGAGAACACTGATGAGGGGAAAGGCTCCTTTTGTCACTCATTTCAAAGGTGGACATTTCACTAAAGAGTTTTTCTGCAAAGGACGTGAACCAGTAAGCACACGCAGTGATTCTAATTAAGTGTATTAAAAAACCAAAAAAAATCCCTTAGATGCGGTCCCAAAAGTCTTTTTCTTAATTGAATAGTAGCACCAAGTGGCCAGGGCAGAAAGTGTTTTTTTCCACAGCCAGGAGCAGCCAGGTGAGCAGCACACCTGATCCCAAGGAGCAGCTGCTTCAAACGTGACTTCTCAGAGCGGCTTAAACAGGGCTCAGGGAGCACAGGCAGCAGGGCCAGAGTCCAGGAGACCCAACCCGAGTCAGGCCTTGATTCACTAAAAGATTTTAACCTATTTTAATTCCTTTTAACTATTTAAAAATTATAAAATCTCTTTTCTTGTGCCCTGTGAGATGCTATTTGTTTGTTATTCCGGCTCATGGTTGACTGTGCTCCCTACATACCCCTTCAACACTGAGTCTCTACATTATAATAAATATAATTTTTTAGGGGAACTAGACAAGACTGCAATCAGGATCCACAGTCAAACCATGAGGAACAGCAGGTAGAAGTCACTGTTTTCCTAAAGAGTATTGCATTAACTCACTGAAAGACGTAAGCTACTATGCAGAAACAGCCTTAGTCTGGCTTGGCTTGAATGTAATGAGCTTACATCCATATGACACGATTTCAGCCCTGAAGTTGAATGTGGCAGGAACAGCCATGGAGCTTCTGAGGCCTACAGAGCAACCCTGACCAACACAGCAAAGGGTAAACTGAATTTACAACTATCATTACCAGAGCTTTTTCTGAAGAGAGAACTTGGATCACAGATGGAGTTTGAGGTACTTTCTAAATATATACAAAAGAGATGCATAACAAGCAAGAAAACAAGAATAGATACCTGATATTAACCTAATTTTCCACAATTATAAAAAATTGCATCCCATTACATGACAACTGAGGTCTCAACAAGCATTGCAGAATTCAGTCTGCTTAAAACTTCCCCAGGTAATTAGGCTGCTAATTCAGGAACTTGTTCTCTTTTAACTGGAGACAAATATTATTAAGACAGGTATTTCAAAACTGAAGAACTAAATGCCTACTTCGCCTCGGCAGTATTCCTTTTTTGCTCCCCAGTGCTCTGTAAAAATACTCTGGAAAGGTTTCAGAGAGCAGGAACAACATTTTCTCCACAAACTGACACTTAGAATAGGTAGACAATGGCAAGGAAATCACCACAAAAGAACTATATCTAAGAATACCTCAACATAATTTGAACTAACCATTTCACTAAGCAACAAGTCTTTGCAGAACTCACTGATTTCCACAGAATTTCTGTTACCAGAAACTGGAGCAACATTCACTGCCAATAACAACTCAAACGTTGGCCAGCAGAGAAAAAAAAATTCCTTTCAAATAGATGTGCTCAGATCTGTCCATGGCTCCAGTGTTCCCATATTAGATATTTATTTTAGGTTCTATTTCTTGAAGCCACTGCAGCTCTCTCAGACACTGATCAAAGTGCAGATGGCACAAAACCACGGCGACACGTTCAGGAACAAACAGTTTAATAAAACTCCTTCACTACCAGCAAGATTCACTCTGTTTTAAAGCATATTCCTGAAACAACCCAAAATGTCACTGTTTCATTAAAGTGATTTCCATTTGAAACAAAAAAATACTGTGGTTTAGGCTCTATCAATGTTATTTTAAGGTGTGTAAAAGAAGATAAACTGGCAGATCCACAGATGTATCTAAATGAACCTCTGCTTAACACGACAGCTTCCCTGGTGCTGCACCTGAAATACTCATTTCAAGGTTTCTGCTTGTATCTTCAAGCCAACTTTATTTAAGGGAAGCTTTATTTGAATTTCTGCCTCACTACTCAGGAGGCAACTGGAAGACAACTGCATGTATTTAATCATATTGGCAGCTGAAAAAGATTAACTGCAGGCAAATGAAATAGAAACAAAACATCTCTACAGCACCAACCAGACTACAAGCAGAGACAGTGCAGAATACTAATATTTCCTTGAGTTCATGCAAACTGTACTGGAAAGTCTACCTAATTCATTTATGAAATCAACCTTAAAACACAATTCATATATTAAAAAGCCAAAGTGTGCTACATTATAGAATAAAAGCCTCAAAAGAACCGTTCCTGCTGTTGCTTTTTACTATAAATTCAACAACATCGATTAAAGGCCACAGATCTGTAACGTCCAAGTTATTTTAAGTGCTTTTGAATTCACTGAGCAGGATTACAAATAATGGAGGAACCAGCCTTTACTAAATGAGGGTAATGCAAATACATAAAAGCAAACCAAACAAACCAACAAAAAGGTTTCAAAACTATCTTACCAGATCAAATTAACTGGAGGAAATCAGTAAATAAAACGTGAAGGCTGCTGGAGAAACCACCTGTGCACTGCAAGAATTAACCTGCATGTAATTCTGAACTGCAAACCTGTTTCCTCTCTGTATAAGTACCTGCTGTCCCAACGTTACTATCTCTGTGCTACCTTTTTATGACTCCATAGGATTCTGTTTTAGAAACTCTGAAGGTGAATGTAGTTACATTTTTGAATGAATGATGCAAAACCCTACGTGGCCTCAAAACCTGAACCTGGCTAACATTTTCAAACAGTTCTGCTTGGAGAAAACTTTATAACCTCTTTATGAAAATAATATCCTTTAGGCTTTCTCAAGAAAAAGCTCCTTAAAACCAACCCAGATCTGCACGAGTGTTGTTTTGCAACAGAATGAGCTCCATTAAAGGCTTCTTTGGCAAGAAAGTGAGGTTTTAGTACTGAAGTTTTTAAACACTGTTAGAATTGCAAGAAACAAAAAGATCACAGCGAGTAATAAACATGGACACATTGGCAGAGCTTTGTTTTATAGAAATAAAAACATAATTAACATTGGGCCACAGCCAACAGGAAATCCTCAAGGGAAAGTGAAATGTTAACTAAGCTGTGGCAGGATGCAGTTGTTTTCCCTCAAAATAACCCTATAGCCATTTGGATGGCAGAAATTGTTTTCCTTGAAGTTGTTGGTCCGTGATAAACAGCAGATACATGACTACAATACAGGCAAACCAAAATATTAGGACCTTATGTAGATAAAAAAAGAAGAAATCAGGTAGAAAAGAGACTGCTTGCTAATTAGACACTAGTCTGTTAATAGAAGAAATTAAGCTATAAGGTGTGCATGTACAAGGGAAGGGTTTATATATATAAAAAAATAAACATCTATATTTAAGAGCCACTTATAACCCTTAACTTTTCAAATCTTTATTTTCTTGAAGGGATTCCAGTTCATGCAGTGGAACTCCATGATTTCTTGTACCTCTCAGCATTCAGGAAGCTTTAATTTGGGTTTCAGCAGTGAGATCACTCTTGTGTGAAAATCAAGGGCAAGGTCTCTCATCATCACCTGGCTGCTCCCCAAAAACCTGGCTGTTCATGGGCTGAGCTCCCACAACAGGGTTTTAGGTTTTCAGGAGCATCCTAATTGAGCCCAAAGCTGAGCTGGTTTCAAATGCAATTCTGATGGAAGTTCAAAGTAAGGAAAACACATCACTTGCACCCTGCATTTCACATCAATCACAGGCAATGGCTGTCACGAGTTACCACTGAGACAGTGGCACAGGATTACAAAAGGAACAGAGGGATGTCTGGAGCTTTCAGATCATAGGCCTGGGTAAGATTTTTAAAACTTAACCTTATTGCTGTCTAGGAATCACAAAGACCTTAATTTTTGACCTAAACCCCCCACAGGGAAGCCTATATCATCTTTTGCTTTTTCTTTCCTCAGCTGGAGGACGGGTGGTTGGAACCCTGCCAGGCTCTCACAGCCTAATGGGAACAGGAAAGCATCGAGCCCACTCCTCAGCACTTGGAGGAAGGATCTGGTGCTGTTTGGGATCCAAAAATCTCTTTTAATCATTCCTGTTTGAAAAACCTCTTCTCGCTTCTTATTCCCCTTGTATCAAAGCCGCACAAAATAAAAGTGCTGGGAAGAATTATGCACAAGTAATTTAGATTAAAAATCAAATCTAACTAAAACTCACCAGCTTCCTGCTCATCTTCCTAAGTAACTCACTGGAGGTTTGGGACCAAGCTCGTAGAACCAGAAAGGACTACATCTATCACATCATCTATCCCCTTCCCCCTCTTTTTATTTCTTCTTTTCTAATAGAAGAAGAAACTCCTTAGAGCATTCTGCATTTTCATCAAGTGTGTACCAACATCTGCTTTCCATCAATAGCTTTTAAGTTCTGTGTTCAAAGAATCTGGAGAACTTCTGGGGATGGGTGACAACTTGAATAACAAGACTGTAACTTGGCCTCTACTTCTAAACTAAAAAAGCATAAACTTCAACCCTAAAGGGGACTGCTAATCCTTTGTGAACCCCTAACTAGTGCTGTACAGCAAAATTAAAATCCACTTTTTTGCTTTCAGGATGTATGACTGTGACATCTTACAGCTGCACCACCTTCCCTACTTACAGAGGAACAGAATCCATGATTCCTTATTCACTCACTCTGCTCCCTGAATGTGATTGGCAAAGCACTTCATGAGCCATGCAGATGAGAAAATGCCCGTGGTAACTGCACAGTCCAAGTGTTGCAGGATTTTAGACAAGCACTTAACTGTGCCCTATGGCACAGCCTCTCCTGGCACGATCATGTTTTGCATGGAAATACTGTACATGGAAAAAAACTGTTGCTGGATGAAATTTGGTTGTGGATTACTGAAGTCTATTGGTTACAGGATTCCTGTCTTCCTTACTGCAGAGGCTGGAAAAGCAAAACCAAGTGGAGAGGGAACTGGAGTAGGAAAAACTACGGTTAAACAGCACGACTCCAAGCTGCAGGTCCCCGTCTGCGTGGGAGGGAAGACACTCACTACTTGCTTCCCATCTTTTAGCTGTCCCAGATGGGAGATGATTTGTAGATGTTTTAAGTCTGTGTAATTTCCACACAGACCAAGAGGATATTGCTCTGCAGCTGCCCTGCCACTGGGGAAACCGGGCCCCCTGCACTCCGGATGGGAAGTTAATGGGATCACTTGAAACTGCAGTTTTTGCTCTCTGAGTAAGATAAGCACAAGGCTGGTCCTTCTTGGGCACAGCCACCAGGAAACATGGGCAGAACACACTGAGGCTCAGGGGACTGCTCCTCGCTTCCATTTGCAGATTAGACAATAATCCTTCAAAATATTCCCTTGTTTGGCCTTTATACCTGTACCTCTGCACACAGTCCTAAGTATATGGAACAAAAATACACAACAAAAGGCCTAATTTATGCCTGGAGCAGCTTGACCTCAATTTTAATATCAGAACTGTATTTTGAATTGTTCTCACTACTGCTCATTTTATGCTTCCTTGCATGCTGACTTCAGTGTATTCTGAGAGCTGGCTTTGTTTATCTTAAAACATTAAAAAAAAAAGAAATATTTCTCTTAGAATCTTTCCAATTCACATTTTACAAGATGCTCAACGCTGTACCTTTAACATGGTCATGAGGCAACTTGAGCAGGAGGTTACAGATTCATAAGCAGCTCTCCAAGTGTATAAACATATTGCTTCAGTGAAACCCCTCCTTTGCTACTGTCCATTCTCCAGAGGAATCACTGCAGATTAACACCAAATTTTAAACTCCCTTTTCAAAATCTGAAAGACTCAGAACTGTAAGATTTCCTCTGCAAAGTGTTACATTATTTAATAGCATTAACAATGCATTGCTGTGTATGAACTGTTTTACGTGCACCAAGGTAATCCTCCAAAAATCACCTCAATGAAAACCAAAACCTCACTTAAACCAATCAAAAATTCACCTCCATGACAGCTCCCCTACAATTCAGAAATCTGAATTCTTGTTCCATGGGTAAAGTTTTAAATATGGATGAAATAAGTTTAAAGAAAATTAATTATCAATCACGTATGTTGAACTGACCAAGTACAAAGCTATTTAAAGATTTCTCCTTTGGGAGCACATATTATTTTATTAAATTTTTTATTAAAATAACATGTGTTCCAATAACATGTGCCTCAACTGTTGAAATATTTGACCAGAGTGGGGAACACAAGACTATTTTTACACAGTCATTAGAGTAAATTTGAATTATTTCACAACTTCAAAGAGAAAACTGTTGGAAATGAGAGAACAAATCCCACTTGGAAAAAAACGTGGTTAAAAAGAGAGTACTTAGTCATGATCAAGATGGAACAAAAACCTGGAAACAAAAATCAGATGAAGAATTTGTAACAGCATTGCAAGATTAGATTAATCTTGGAGAGGTCTGTGGTCATGATACAGATCAGGGCTGCTGGTGTTAACTTTTATTTAAATACCTACTTCTTAAGGATTTTTCTCATTTTTATGCATTTTTATTCCTTGCTGATTGTCCACAAGAGTACCCTCTCTTTGATTAGAAAAATTCCTAGATTTCTAAACACTTTTCTTTGGAGCACAGCCAAAGCTAGAATAACTTTTCCCAGCCACCCTGAATATTAACATGTTTAGCCAATCCTGCTTTACGAGAATCACACAAAATCCAGGGTACTGCCCATGCCCTGAGGTAAGGAGGAGAACCTTTCCTTCATAAAAGACAACAGAGAAACAGCAAAAGCCTGAATTCATGCAACTGTTAACAAACATGTGTTGCCAAGAGATATGGTTTGCAGCAAAGAAACAGATGCAGACAACCTAAACATGAACAGAGTCCATCCAACAGGAACAGGAGACAAATAAGAGAAGAAAGGTTTGCCAAAAGACCCCAAACTCTCAAATTAAAAGTAATTGGGGAAGAGATGCCAAAATAAATATGGGTCCACCACCATCTAAGAACCTTCCAGGTTATTGACCAGACACTGTTTCAAGCCTTTCTTACATTCACTTGGACTATGGAAATTTGTGTCGGGCCCCGTAAGTTCTGTCCTCAAGATGAGACGTTAGAACAGCTTCAGAGTAAAGAAATAAACATCTTCTACGACATAAATACAGGATTTCTACCTTTAGTGCGCCAACCTCGCACTGATAGGACAGACAGCATTCAGTTAAGTGCTACTGGTATAAAGTACTTGGTAAAACTATAAGATCACTTATAAAACTATTTTCATACCTGGGCCAAGCAGCGGGGACCGGTTCGGCTGGGCACTTGGCTGGTGCGATGGCTGAGGTTCAACCATGTTGGTGTTGATAATGGTGCTAGTGGTGGTGGTGTTGGTTGTGGTACTGCTCTGAATTATAGGATTATTTCTATCCCACATGTTTACAGTCTTGTTGTTGTTGTAATTTGGGTCGCCCCAAGCTGAGGTACCGTCATCGATTTCCATCTTGCGGCGAATGGACGGTGGCGATGGCTCTTCCCAGCCAGTTGCCTCACAGTTCTCTTTTTGTTTGGCTGGCACTGGCCCACCAACCCACCCTGACCCCGTCTGTTTTACAGAAGCAGCTCCTCCCCAGTTACTCACATTGTTGTCCTGGGGTTTATTAGCCCAATTTTGTTGGGGGCCTGGCTTTAAAGATTCCCCCCAACTTGTACCTGTATTAGCCTTGCTGTTTGTGCCATTTCCCCACCCACTGGTCCCAGACCTTGCGGAATCATTCCAGCCAGACCCCGATCTATTGTCAGAATCCCATCCAGATCCATTCTTCTTCCCATCACCCAAGTGTCCAGGAACAGATGATGAATCTGTCCAGTCTCCACCTCCTGAAGTCCAGCTTGGATTTGATTTCTGTCCATCTCCCCAGTTTTGAGATTTGGGTTTCTGAGGTTCACCCCAGGTAGGTGATTTGTCCTCCTGATTTGCGGTCCCACTCCAAGCGTGGCCGCTTTTGGCAGCAGCAGCATTATTAACAGTAGTAGAGCTTGCTGACTCTCCCCACCCCCCCGGGCCATTTGGTGCTTTGTTGTTATTGTCTCCCCAACCTGTGTTTGTTGGAACAGCTGCCGGTGGAGAGTTGACCCACCCAGATACTGAAGAGGTATTTGTACTGTTCATGATGGACCCATCGTTCTTCCCCCCTGAGTTTGAAGATTGAGTAGCTGCACAACCCCAGGCCTCTGTTCCATTGTCATTCTTCCGTTCAGACCTTGGGGACTCTTCAAATTCCCAGGCAGTGTTTTGCTTTACAGGGGTCTGTCCCCACCCCGTATTGGACAGGACCCTGGGGTCAAGGTCATTTCTTGGCAACTGAACTTGCCCTTGGTCTATCATCCCTTTGTCTCTCCTCCTGCCCTCTCCAGCCCCCTCCCTCCCAGTACTGCCTTCATTTTGACTCCCACCGCTGTCATTGCTTCCTTCACTAGCCGTGGTGCCAGATGCTGCAGCTTTGGCCCAAGAGTTCATTTGTTCATTGCCCTGCTGCATGGCAGGGTTCGGACTGGTAACACTAGAGCTATCCCACCCTGTTGATCCTTTCCCATTGATGTCGCTATTGGAATGCTGGTTTGGGGGCTTGCCCCACTCCCCGTTGACACCGTTGCTGGTGTTACGGTTGGGGTGGCCCCAAGCTCCAGAATGCACACCACCAACACCGCTGCTGCCACCGCCCCTGCCCCACGCCAGGACCCCGGGACCGGACGGAGGCCCCGAATCCCACGCGTTCGCTCCGTTTCCTTCCTTCTGCACAGCACTGCTGGATCCGTTTTGTTTAGCACTTAATGCTGAGTTCACAGTGTCTCCATTCCCCTGACTGAACCCAGAATTGCTGTTTCCTGTGGCAGGATTACCTGGGGACATCCCCCACACTGAACTGCCCATTCCTTCACCACTGCCCCCGCTGACTTGAGAAACCGATGTTCCGTTAGCACCAGGAAGGCCTTGCAGGTGGGGCGGGATGATGGCCCCCATGCCAACAGCCATCCCCCAGTTCGGCAGTCCGTTTGTCTGCATTGCATTGATAGGGTTTGGTGAAGAGTTCATGGGGTTAGTGTTATTTGGTCCATCAGTGTTAAGGTTCTGAGGTTGTACGCTGAAAGACACATTCTGAGAAGTGGACGTTTGTGGTTCTGTGCTCTCTTGCGGCAGCAAGTTTCCCCAGGCACCCAAGGTGCCTGTTGGGTTCCCATTCTGGTTGCCCATATTCTGACCTATGGCACTGACTGGACTGCAAATACTGGAAGGGTTGCCTGCTCCCACAGTTCCTTCATGTCCAAGTACAGGCCAGGCAGCTGGATTGGCATTAGGGTTAAGGTTAAGATTAATGCCAGCATTCGAGTTGGAAGCACCCCAGCAGTTCTGACTTCTACCGTCTCCCATCATGTTGTCCATCTTTCCATCCCCACCACTGGCAGAGCAGTGAGCTAGGCCAGAGCTGGAGCCCGCAGCCACCCCCCACACCCTGGCCGAGCTGCCGTTGCCGTTTGCTCCACCAGCTCCAAGGGCACTCTGGTTAGAAGTGCTTTGGACGAGTGCTCCGTTGGCGCCATTATTGCCATTAGTTTTCTTTGTATGTCCAGTGAAGTTGCCTTGGGCACTCCCTGTAGCCATGCTACTGTTCTCTGAGCCACAGTTGGAGGCAGAGTCAGTGTCTGTAGTACATTCTGAGGCAGACTCAGTCTCAGCTCCGGTTATGGAAGGCCACGCTTCCTTGTCAGTCCTGTCTATTATCACTTTATCCCAGCTGCAGTTGCCTTCACTCCTGAAAGCGGGCTGCTGTCCCCAGTGGGAATTCTCATAATGGTCTCCCAATCCACTGTGGCTGAGATCTGAAAGGAGCCAAGGTTAAAAATGAGTCCAGTGTTCAAGCCTTGCAAAAACCCTCTATTAAGTACTGTCTTACATCACTAGTTACAACACTACATTCTGCTGAAATCTAGAGAACATTCTCTAACACAATGCACCGATTTTCCCCACCACAAAAGACCATGATGCTCATATTAATTTGTTTCTCTTTTTAATCTGGAAAAACTCTCAATTAAAATAATGAAACAATCCCATTTTAGAACAGAGGAAGTGTTTCATAGCCCTCAGTGTACCAGTAAAAACAATAAGCAGGCAAGAAAATAAGGTGAGCAAATACACTAATCCATGTGAAGAATCTAAAAAGCAAATCTGGAAAAAACACAGACAAGTATCTAGCAGACTCTTGCCATTTATTTTGACTCAATTCTCGTTCTTTACGGAAACACAAAGAAAAAGCATCCAATAAAAAAATGTAAAAATGTCTGCCTGCCATGAGCTATTATTACATACACACACTCCCACATCACATTTAACACACTAAATTCACACTGCATTTAGGTTTTCCCCCCTTCCTGTAAATAAAGAACAAACATAGACAATGACCTTTATTGTTAGGTGCCAATTATTTTATATTTTATACCACTATTTTACATTTCAGCAGAGAACTTGGGCATCTCTAA